CCATGCCTCGCGTTTTTGGCTACATTCGGTGTATAAGACGCACCCAAATTTTCACCCTCTTTTAGGGGGGAAAAAGGCATTTTATAATCTGAAAAATACGGTATTTTTGATTACAAATAAATCCACTATCCCTCACTGACTATCAGTAATAGCTACTCTTCATGGGATCAGTGAGGAATTTATTCCAAGAAAATTATCCTTTGACAGTCTCGTATTGAATTTGTTGCTAAGACAAGTAGATAAAAGGAGACAAAGCCTGTGAAATAACCAGAATGAAGCCAAAATTCGGACAATACTGGGACTTACATTAAAAAAAGAAAAAATCACAGGACAATAGGCAAACTTCCCAGTTCTGTAAAGGTAGTCCTCGAGTTACGACTGCAATTGAGCCCAAACTTTACGTTGCTAAGTGAAACATTTATTAAGTGAGAGTTGTCCCATTTTACGATCTTTCTTGCCATAGTTGTTAAGTGAATCACTGCAGTTGTTGTAGTCAGAATAGTAATGTGTTTGTTAAGTAAATCTGACTTCCCCATTGACTTTGCTTGTCAGAAGGAGATCACATGACCCCGGGACATTGCAACTGTCATAAATATGAAATATGACCTCTGAATTTTGATCATCTGACCATGGGGATACTGCAATGGTTGTAAGTATGAAACAGAGTCATAAGTCACTTTTTTCACTGCGGTTGTAACTTTGAATGGTCATTAAATGAACTGTTGTAAGTCGAGGAGCACTTGTAATTCTTAAGCAATTACAAGAGCCTTGGTACTACAGTGGTTTAAAGCACCCTGTTATTAACACAGCTGCCTGCAATTTACTGCTGGTTCGAATCTCTCCAAGGCTCAAGGTTGACTCAGCCTTCCATCCTTTCTAAGGTAGGTTAAATGAGGACCCAGTTTGTGGGGGCAATAAGCTGACTTTGTATAAATATACAAAAGTATGAAGGCTATTGCTTAACGCACTGTAAGCCGCCCTGAGTCTCCGGAGAAGGGCGGCATATAAATCAAATTAAAAAAAAAAAAAAATTCAGAAAAAAGAAGATGCCAGAATTTAGGCCCACAGAGAACTTCTATTTTTATGTAATATGTTGATTAGCCAGCAAAGAATGCACTGTCATTATGTCTAAGCTTTCTTTAAATCAATTTATGAAACATAAAAAAAGGTGATTATTTTTATAACTCCTATACTTTTCAGTTTTATGGTTAGCAATTTCAATATTGTGCTTAGTTCATTCCGATGGAAAAATGGATGGTTTTTAAGATGAGCATATACTGTATATCCTTAGCATTTTGTTTTTCAAATAGAAAAAAAAAAGAATACACTATTCGAAGAGGCAATGAGAAAAAAGTAGGAGGGAGGGGACACATATATTGCTTCCGGTACCTCTCAAGAGTTTTAAAAAGGTCTTGAGTCAATAGGACAAATACACAACGCAGATTAGCTTTCTTCTTGTGACCTTGTCATGTTATTTGATTTGTAAGTTATTTATTTATTTATTTATTTATTTATTTATTTATTTATTTATTTATTTAATTTCTATACCGCCCTTCTCCCAAAGGACTCAGGGCGGTGAACAGATTAAGATTTCATATACATATAATATTTTTTTTTTTATAAACAGTAAATAATAAATTGAGTCAACTTGGTGTATCTGCTAAGACCTTGGCATAGAATTTAGATGTTTATGCTAGCCCTGCTTGTTGAAACAGAAAGGTCTTCAGGGCACGTCGGAAAGTGCGAAGATCTGGGATTATTCCTATTCCAGGGGGTATTTTGTTCCAAAGAGTAGGTGCCCCCACAGAGAAGGCTCTCTCCCTTGGAACTACTAGACGACATTGTTTTAATGATGGTACTATGAATAGGCCTACTCTGTGAGAGCGTATTGGTTGGTGGGAGGTTATCGGTTGCAGCAGGTGGTCTCGTAAGTACTCAGGTCCTAAGCCATGGAGCACTTTGAAGGTAAGAACCAACACCTTGAAGCGCACTCGGAAGGCCACCGGAAGCCAGTGCAGCTCGCGTAGAAGAGGTATTACATGTGAGCGCCATGTTGCTCCCATAATTACTTGCGCGGCCGCATTCTGGACCAGTTGGAGCTTCCAGGTGCACTTCAAGGGGAACCCCATGTAGAGAGCATTGCAGTAGTCAAGTCGGGAAATGAAAAACATAGCTATAATTTGCTGTGAGACTTTGATTTGGTCATGGTTGAGGGAAGCACAGGAAGGGGAAGATGATGAAAAAGGAGACAGGTCAATTCAAATGGATCTTGGAAATGTGATGTCTTTAGAACAGTGTTTCTCAACCTTGGCCGCTGGACGATGTGTGGACTTCAACTCCCACACATCGTCCAGCGGCCAAGGTTGAGAAACACTGCTTTAGAAGGTGGTGGCCTTTAGAAGTCTATGGAGATTCTCAGTCATCCAGCTCATGGTTGTCCCAAAGCTGCTTTTTTGAATACGTTTCGCTTCTCATCCAAGAGCTGAAGAAACTTCTTGGACGAGAAGTGAAACGTCTTCAAAGAAAAACAAGAAAGAAAAGTCCAGTTGCCTCTTCAAAAAAGCACCTTTGGAACATATTCTTAGAGTTAACAGAAGTTGAATGTGACCTAAGAAACTTAGAAAACCAAGTTTAGACAAAAAGTTTGTCCTGAACCATGACTCAAGCTTATAGATGCTTTTGACATTTATGTGACCATGCCAATATAAAAGTTGGAATTAGTGGAACAACAGGTTTTTGATAAATCCCAGTTAGTTCTCATTAATTTTTGCTTTGTTAGAATTACACAAAAGTACTTGAGAGTCTTGAGAGCTTACTTGCCTTGCCTAATTGTCCCATCGTCTGAATGGACCAGTAACCATTTTTGGAAGAAAGGGTCGGAGAACATCAATCTGTATTCACCTCCTCTCATTGCAATTGAGATCCCTGGGTAAATTTTTTCTGCTATGCTTTTATGTACTCTTTCCTTTCTGATCGATGTACAGTACTTTGTGAAAGTCTGGTCACACAGTTGTGGCTACTTCAGAAAAGAAAGAATACTCCCTCAACTGTGTCAATAGTTATCCTGGACAAGAAGCAATGGATGGAAACTAATCATGGAAAGAAGCATCCTAGAACTAAGGAGATATAGAATAGAATAGAATAGAATAGAATAGAATAGAATAGAATAGAATAACAGAGTTGGAAGGGACCTTGGAGGTCTTCTAGTCTAACCCCCTGCTTAGACAGGAAACCCTACACCACTTCAGACAAATGGTTACCCAACATCTTCTTAAAAACTTCCAGTGTTGGAGCATTCACAATTTCTGGAGGCAAGTTGTTCCACTGATTAATTGTTCCAACTGTCAGAAAATTTCTCCTTAGTTCTAAGTTGCTTCTCTCCTTGATTAGTTTCTACCCATTGCTTCTTGTCCTACCCTCAGGTGCTTTGGTGAATAGCTTGACTCCCTCTTCTTTGTGGCAAACATTGAAACATCATGTCTCCCCTAATCCTTCTTTTCATTAAACTAGACCTACCCAGTTCCTGCAACCGTTCTTCATATGTTTTAACCTCCAGTCCCCTAATCATCTTTGTTGCTCTTCTCTGCACTCTTTCTAGAGGCTCAACATCTCCTGAAAGTTAGAACAATTAATCAGTGGAATGACTTTCCTTCAGAAGTTGTGGGTGCTCCAACACTGGAAGTTTTTAAGAACAGATTGGACAGCCACTTTTCTGAAATGGTAGGATTTCCTGCTTGAACCAGGGGTTGGACTAAACCTCCAAGATCCCTTCCAACTCTGTTATTTTGTTATTTTATTATCCATGCTACAATAGCATAATGGTTATAACACTTGCTTTATAAATAGGTAGAAGTTTGCCGATTTGAAGCTTAGGAGAAACTTTTTTAAAAATAATAATTTCTGCCTAGTACTATATATACTTTTCTCTGGGTTTTAAGGACATTCTTTTAAGGTTATTCTGAAAACAGACAAATAAAAAATGCAGAACAATGTAGCATCTACAGCATTTTCCGGAAATAAAATTATGACTGCCTGAAGATGGCTGTAAAAATCAATTCCAATTCCTTCCCTTTCGTACACATTGAAAAAAAAAATGAAAACAACTTGTGAGTGAGTGGGCAGCCCTAGAGAAGAAATGAACAAACAAATAAAGAAAAAAATATGTCCAATCGTGGAAATACACGGATATTAATACTGGAAGGTATTAGGATTTGAATAATGAAAGCAAATTGAATAATGAAATGAACAAATGCTTCTTGCACCTTTCTTTCCTACTTGTTAGTCCACCCTTCCCCAATTTCTGGAGCTCTCCAGAAATATTGGCAACACAGTTCCTAGAAAGCTATATCATCAGCATGGCCACATTGGTAGAGAATAATAAGGTCCATCATCCTAAAACATTGCACAGGCATCAGGCTACGGAAGACTGATATAATCTAAGGCCAAATTCCACATTTGCCTCTTGTATGTCTGGAAAGACTCTGGAAAGAGTGCAGAGAAGAGCAACAAAAATGATTAGGGGACTGGAGGCTAAAACATACAAAGAACAGTTACAGGAATTGGGTATATCTAGTCTAATGAAAAGAAGGACTAGAGGTGACATGATATCCCTGTTCCAATATTTGAGGGGCTCCTACAAATATGAGGGGTGTGGGGTGTGGGGTCAAACTAATTTCCAAAGCACCAAAAGGCAAGACAAGAAACAATGGTTGGAAACTAACCAAGGAAAGAAGTAACCTAGAATTAAGGAGAAATTTCCTAACGGTGAGAGCAATCAATCAACCCATGGAACAGCTTGCCTTCAGAAGTTGTAGGTGCTCCATCACTGGAGGCTTTCAAAAAGAGATTGGACAACCATTTGTCTGAACAGTCTCTTCCTGCATCAACAGGGGGTTGGACTAGAAGACCTCCAAGGTTCCTTCCAACTCTTATTAGTCTACTTTTATGTCCTATGTTTTTGGATCTTAGAATATTAATTAAAAGAAACACGAAGAATTTACCTTTGCATGTATGATCTCAGCAGGGTGATGCCCAGAAGGAAGTACATCATAATGGAACACACCATCATGGTCAGTCCCAGGAGTATGGCCCGGTCCTCTCCTGCTTTGAGAGCGGTGACTGTTTTCCTTTTGTCCAGTAGATCATGATCCCTGATTTTTTGGTAAATATTTCTGAGGTTGAAAACAATACATTCTTATGTGGAGTTCACACTTTAATCAATAAACCCTCTAAAAGGACTGTTTTGCTCCGTTTCCAGGGCCTGCCTCAGGGGAGATCACAGCTTTAAGATTACCGCATTCGATGTTTTCTAAACATTTTGCTTGGACCTGGTAGGGGAAAGAAAAAATCACCGGCATCCGAAACTCACAAAAGGCTTTCATTGGTGGAATGATTTTCAAAGCTCCCCTTTTCTTCCCTCTTGCCTCTGTTTTTCAATTTCCGGGAAGGTGCTTTGCAAAAGATGAAATGAATCTTTCACAACAAATCTTAGATCATTCACACCAGAGGAATTCTTTGGAATCCCCGGAAAAATGTGTGATGTGATGTGACTGAAGAGAGAGTAATCAAAGATGTATGATTCCCTGCTTTATTTCCTGGCGGAAATTTAGACTTCTGAGTTTCCTCATCAATTTAGAGTTCTTAGGGCTTGGCCTTCATAATACTCTGGACCAGGGGTCTCCAACCTTGGCCACTTTAAGACTGGTGGACTTCAACTCCCAGAGTTCCTGAGGGCTAGGAAGCAAGCCCAAGGGCCTGTAAGGACTCCGAGGATGGGAAGCGGAGCATGGGCTTCTTAGGGAGTAGGGAAGACCTTGGGAGGCCCTTGGACCTGTGCTAGGTCTCGCAGGGCCTCTCCTAATCCTGAGGCCTCTGTTTAATGACCCATGTGGTTTTTAACAACTGCATCAGAGGCAGCAGAGGTGAAGATTGTTAAGGAACAGAGGTGGGTTTCAGCAGGTTCTGACCAGTTCTGGAGAACCGGTAGCTGAAATTTTGAGTAGTTTGGAGAACTGGTAAATATCACCTCTGACTGGCCCTGCCCTCATCTATTCTCTGCTTCCTGAGTCCCAGCTGATAGGGAGGAAATGGGAATTTTGCAATAACCTTCCCCTAGATTGGGGAGGGAATGGCGATTTTACACCCACCACCATGCCACGCTCATCAAGCCACATCCACAGAACCGATAGCAAAAAATTTTGAATCCCACCACTGTTAAGGAAGGTCTCCTCACTTAATGACTGTCATGACTTGCGACTGTAATAGGCAGGGTCCATTATGACCATGAATCAAGGGCTATCTTTATATTCTTTAGTGTTCTGATATTTATGATAGCATTTTTCATAGTGTATAGTATTTTGTAGTCTTTCCATCTGCATTAATTTAGCACAAACATCTTTTTTTGTTCTCATTTCCTCGCATTGATGGCCATCCATAATGTAATCAGCTGATCAACATCAACATTGGCGCCAACTTATTTCTAGCTTACTTCATGGTGTTCTGGATTTTTGTTAACCTAAAAATGATGGTCTAGCTCAGTGTTTCTCTACCTTGGAAGCTTGAAGATGGGTGGACTTCAACTCCCAGAATCCCCCAGCCAGCAGCGCTGGCTGGGGAATTCTGGGAGTTGAAGTCCACCCATCTTCAAGCTACCAAGGTTGAGAAACACTGGTCTAGCTATTATCCATTCTATCTATGGAATTCTTGATGCTTTCTGAACTTGGTTGTTTACTTGCGGACATTTCATTACGCAACTAGGTAACATCATCAATGTGAGTGAGTGTCGGATTTGCTGCCTTTTTTATATATAGTAGCTGCCCTGCCAGTTTCAGTGGGGGCATGGTTTTTTAACCTGGTATTACCTTAATTGGAGTGTTCTAAAGTGTTCAGACCAATCAGTCATCAATAGACACATTTATACACCATTCAAAAGAGACAATATGTATAAAACCTAAGAAGGAAATAAAAAACTAGAAGACATCTTCCCCACCAGCAGCCAACATTCAGATAAATAGCACCAGACAAAAAATGAGGCACATAAACAACACTCTATCCAAGGAACCTTCAAAGAGAAAACCACAACCCACCAAAAATTGGCAAGGCAAGCTACTATATATAAATAGGAAGCAATCCACATACTCATTTGCATGGATTATGTTATCTAATTGGGTAATAAAACATCTGTAAGCAAACAACCAAGCTCAGAGAGCAGCAAGGACCCCCACAGTTCAACCCTGAGCTACAGATTTATTCCAGGAGTGAAATCCAGCAGGTTCTGCCAGGTTCTGGAGAACCGGTAGTGGAAATTTTGAGCAGTTCGGAGAACCGGCAAATACCACCTCTGGCTGGCCCCAGAGTGGGGGCGGGGGGCAATGGAGGTTTGCAAGATCCTTCCCCCAGGAGTGGGGAGGGAATGGGGATTTTGCAATATCCTTCCCCTGCCACACACACCAAGCCATGCCCACAGAACCAGTAGTAAAAAAAAAAATGGATTTCACTACTGATACCTTCTGCAGGTATCTATCCTCTCTCTCTCTCTCTCAAATGAGTTACAGTCTGAGTTCCTACAGTTTCTATGCCTGAGAAATCCCACATTCAAATCAAATATTTTTATGGTATTTAAGAGTAGGACATGAGCAGACATATATTTTCTGCTCCATATACTCTAGTGAGTTTTATATTTTCCCATCACCACATATTGCAGGGATTAGCAATTTGGGAGGCGTTGGGGACACATTTGGAATGTTGATAAGTTAGGACAGTTGTTTATTTACAAAATGGTTCCCATGGTGAGCCTGGCCAGTCATCAAACATCAAGGTACCAGAAGGGCTGTTCCAGGATGTGCTGCAAATAACGAGAATGCCAAATGATCTTGCTTTGCTTTGCAGCAGGACAGATTCCTGGTTTTCTTTTTTAAAACCATACGTTTGCATGTATTAGAAAAGGAACAGAGTGGAAGGGATACTGCAAAATCTCCATTCCCCCCCCCAACTCTAGGGGAAGGATACTGCAAAATCCCCATTCCCTCCCCACTCTGGGGCCAGCCAGAGGTGGTATTTGGCGGTTCTTCAAACTACTCAAAATTTCCGCTACCTGTTCTCCAAACTACTCAAAATTTCTGCTACCGGTTCTCCAGAACCTGTCAGAACCTGCTGGATTTCACCCCTGGATTGACTTAACAACTGTAGGCGAGAAAGGTCACAAAATAGGGCAAAACTCTCTTAACAAATGTCTCACTTAGCAACATAAATGGTGGGCTCAGTTGTGGTTGTAAGTCGAGGACTACCTGTATAACCACACAATAAAGATAGAGCTAGTATTCCTGGCTATGCTTCTTGTCTGGAGAACATTGTGGGGCTTGCAGGGCTGAGGACAACTTCATTTGTCTGCAGTGGTGTAGGGTTTCCTGCCTAAGCAGGGGGTTGGACTAGAAGACCTCCAAGGTCCCTTCCATCTCAGTTATTCTATGCTATTTGTTTGTATCTCTGCTTTTCTTTTCTTCTTCTCCATAATTTGGAACTCACTGGGTGTGTGGAATGAGCTCTGATTTATTTTTCCCTCACTGATGATAGCCAGCAAAATGCAGTAGAATAGATAATCGGAGAAAGGGGTAAATGCGTGATATTATGGGTAGACAAGGAATGCTGACTAATATATTAGGGAGAGTAAGGGAGGGTGATACACAGATGGACTTTTGGACATTTGGTTCTGAAGGTGTAACTCCGTTATAAAATACTCTGGCCATCTTTCAAAGCAGTCTCTGCACTGATGTTTCTTAACCTTAGCAATTTGAAGATGTGTGGACTTCAACTCCCAGAATTCCCCAGCCATCCCAGAATTCTGGGATTTGAAGTCTATATATCAGTGATGGCAAACCTTTTCGGCTCTGAGTGCCCAAACTGGAATGCACATGCGCACGTGCATGCCGGAGCACCAGAAACATGTGCCAGTGCGCATGTGCGCACTGGCCAACTGCTCTTCCGCTTTCCGGTGTGTGCATGCTCAGCGGCCAGTCAGGGGTGAAATCCAAAATGTTTCCCTGCCGGTTCTGTGGGCGTGGCTTGGTGGGCGTGGCAGGGGAAGGATATTGCAAAATCTCCATTCCCACCCCACTCCAGGAGAAGGATACTACAAAATCTCCATTCCCACCCCACTCTAGGGGAAGCATACTGCAAAATCTCCATTCCCACCCCACTCTAGCGGAAGCATACTGCAAAATCTCCATTCTCACCCCTCCTGGGGAAAGGATACTGCAAAATCTCCATTCCCACCCCACTCCTGGTGGAAGGATACTACAATATCTCCATTCCCTCCCCTCCTGGGGAAAGGATATTGCAAACTCTCCATTCCCACCCCATTCTGGGGCTAGCCAGAGGTGGTATTTGCCGGTTTCCCGAACTACTCAAAATTTCCGCTACCGGTTCTCCAGAACCTGTTTAGAACCTGCTGGATTTCACCCCTGCGGCCAGCTGGTCTTTGGGTTTCCAGTGCTCAGGTGTGCGCAAAGACCAGCTGGCCGAGGTGCATGTGCACGCCGGAGACCGGAAGGGCAGCTGGCGACGGCACATGTGCCCACGGAGAGGGTTCTGCGTGCCAGGTATGCCATAGGTTCGCCATCACGGCTATATATATCTTCAAGTTGAGAAATACTGCACTACACAGTGGTGCTTCCCATAAGAGAGCCACAGATGTGTACCTGCGTATCTTGTTTGAAAACAGGAAAGCAAATGTTTTGCTCGTGCCTTTGTGTGGCTATAGAGCCTGATCCAATTTATTCAGGAAAAACAAACCTGCATATATTTAGACATGCGTCGGATTGCAGTCCTTCCAGCCCTCAGTTTGAACATCCTCACTTGAAAATAAATAGATTGGTTTGATTCATTTTCAAGTTAGTACACTGCTACTGGCAGCTTTTCTCTGATTCTAGCTTGATATGTATTATTGTTATTTTATTCCTGTTTTCATAATTTTTCACTGCGCTGCTTCTTCCATTACTTGCAGTAAAATCCACATGCATTATTCCAGTTCGCTGCTAAGGATTTACTCTGGAATGCATGCAATAAATGAACCGACTCCCGAAAAACTCGCTAACCTTTCCCCCAGCTTGAAATGAAATTCATAATTGATCTATCTCATCCTTTTATTTTTCCCCCTCCCAAAAACCATAGCACA